CCGCTTTTAATCCTAGGCAAAGAATAAGATAAAAATATGAGTAAATTATTTTTTAGAAAAATCAAAGAGGCTCAAATAAATCTAAACTTTTTTAGGAACTTGGCACATTATATTGAATGACATTGAGCAGCAACTTTGTGGAGCAATTTTGCACAATGAAACACCAGATGAAAGGAAATTTGGCCTTTTGACAGGATAATATAGCAAGTTTTGCGCATAATCTCTTCTCAAAATTGTAAATTTACACTGTCTCGACTTAGGAAATTTAAAATGGATAACCAGAAAGGAGTGAAGAAAGTGTAGATGGAGAGCTTTTGCAAAGAAGATCGCACTGAAATAGGATACTCATTAGGACGGCATGTAGAGGGAAATTTTGCTAAGATCTTCTAATTATGACTAACTGAGAATGTGGCTATATTTTGTAAAGATTTGTTCTGCTGTAAAACCAGTAATTTTTATTTTATCCGTCCTGTTGAGGTATTACAGCGATTTGGAGCAGTTTAGCTAAAAATTGGAAAGAATTAGTTTGGCCTAAAAAATCATACTCTTATCAAAAGGCTAAAGGACGAAGTGTTGGATGACTAAGTGAAAAATGGTGCGATCATGCTATACGTTTTTTGAGGCTCATGACCAAGTGAGTTTTTTGAGCCCCTTCAGATGATAAGCTGAAAAAAGGCAAAAAGCGACAGTTCTTTTCAACAGCATCCGATCAGCCCCACAATTGACAGAAAAAGATGCGAGTTGTCATCAAAAGCAAACTGAATCGTGTCAGCAATCTGCCCTTTGACAACCGCCTACGAAGCTCATTGATGCCAGCTGTTGATGTCAGGACTTTGCCTTGCCAAACGATGATCGTTAAGCCAACAGCTGGGATCGTTGTTGATGGATACGTGAAATGCGTCAAAAAACTATTTGCCATTGAATCCGCTTACTGTATCCCTACGGATTCACTGCGGAAATGCAGATGTGTTCTCGACTGACGTAATGCATGTGATTTCACACGAGTTTTAGTCTTTCTGTTTACTGTGCATTTTGCACGATGCGGTTAACCGATAGTTGTGTTTCTCTTGTGGATTAAATGTCACATGCCTCTTCACTGACGACTACTCACAAAGATCACTGGGATATAAATAGC